TGAGCTGTTGTTCAGCATCTTAGCTGTGGAGGGCAGTGTCACTGGCCCTCATATGTGGGATCCGAACCGGGGCCCTCTGGCGTTCCAAGCCAGTTCTTAACCAAAGCGCCACTCGGCCGGCCCCCTTTTTACTTTTTTAATATGGCTACAAGAAAACTCAAAATTATATGTGGGTTGCATTATATTTCAATTGAACAACACCTAGACTAGATGAGAAGGAGCCCCCTTTTTCAGCATCTTACAGTTATTTCTTTAGGAGCTCATATTATTATCTGCTAAAATGCTAGCTTGTATCCTGCACTAGACTGCAAGTACCTAAAAAAACAAGAGGATGTCTTGGTCAACATGATAATTTCAGCACCAAATGTGCTTAAATAAAAAACAGTTAATCCTCATTATATGTGGATTCCATATTTATGAATTTCCCTACTGGATAAATTTACTTGTAGCCCCAACATCAATACTTGAGATGCTTTCACAATCATCTTTGGACATGCAGAGAACAGTAAAAGATTTGAGTCATCCAACACATGTTGTCCTGACTGAGGTCAAACAAGGCAGTGCTCTGCCTTCTATTTTCAACTGTCAAATGGTAAACGACAGGGTTTTTTTTTCAGTCTATCAGTGCCACTTTTTCACATTTTTGTGACTTTTGTTGGTGACTTGGCTGTTTAAAATGTCCCCCAAGCATAATGCTGAAGTGCTGTCTAGTGTTTTTAAGCACAAGGCTGTGATGTGCCTTACAGAGAACATACATGTTAGATAAGTCTCCTTTGGACATGAATTGTAGTGCTGTTGGCTGTGAGTTAAATGTTAGTGAATCAACATATATTAAATAAACACATGTAATACAAGATGATATATTGGTCAGTTGATGAAAATGTTGTGACCAGAGGCTTACAGGAACCTAGCTTTGCATTTCTTCTAGGAGCAATGGTTCAATATTTACTGATTTAGTGTTCCAGTGACTTCACTAGAATCAACTATATTTGTTGAATGAATGCCGGTTCATTTGATTCCAAATCCAAATCTTATGTGAATGCACTATATGGTGGCAGTTAAAGCAGGGCTTGTGGAGCCAAACTGGCTAGAGTTCAATCTTGGCCTTCTGACTTGCTAGCTGTGTGATTTGGGGCAAATTACTTAACTTTCATCTGCCATTTTCCACAACTAAAAATGTAAATAAAAGAATAGTTGTTAATGATTGCCACGGGCTGTGTGTGGTGGAGGGGACTGACCAGAAGAGGGCAGGAGAAAACTTTTAGAATGAGGAAATATTCTATATCTTGATTATAGTGGTATTTACATAAATGTCTACGTTCTTCAAATCTCATATAACTAAAAACGATAACTTTTATTTTGTATAAATTATAACTTAATAAACGAGATTGAAAGAGTGTAACAGTCAAGATTAAATAATGCACATAAGGCAATTAATTCACTGCATGCTTACATACTCTTTAAATATTGCAAACACTCTAATAACAATAGACAGAAAAGGTTAGGTGATGTAAGGAAAGGCAGAGTGGGCTCATGAACTGGGATTCTAATCTGGTTCTTTCTATTAGCTAGAGGCTGAGCTGTTGATGGGAGTTCACTTGTTTATTGCAAAGGTTAAGTTACGCCGCATGTGTGAAATATCTGTGTAAACTGTAGAGCTGCATGGGAATGTGAGAAATAGGACTGTCCATGAGACAGCAATACAAAATCACAGGGCCACGTTCACTGGTGTGGAGGTCACCTCTCCAAGGTAGGAAAATGTGGTGGGTTGTGAAATGAAACCATTAAAAAGGGCACACATCTTTTTTTTAAAGAACCTTGGTCCTTAATCCTATACAAGTCTCTACTGGCTACAGACAACCCATCCATTCTAAGAAGGGTGGACATATCTCTAACTCGATGAAACGGCAACGCCAGGAGGGAAGAGCTGAGTTTGGCAGAACAGCTTTCTGGACTGGACCATGTGGTAGGAGTCAGACATCCACTTGCCTCCGCTCCATAACAGCTTCTGGAGGGATAAGTGAGTTAGGTCGTTTCACCGCTGCTTTTTAGTTTGAGCAGGTCTCACGAGTTCCCACCCTTGAGAGTGGGCAGGGCACCCAGTGGCAGTCGCTGCCATGAAGTCATCTTGGGTGGCTGGGGTTCTCCGCAGAGCATGCAAGGCACATCTGGGTAATAAAATACCGCACTTGGGCTCTTCCTGGAGGAACAAGGTGGGTTTGACCACCACGGAGGGCTGCAAGATGGGCCAGAAGCTGGAACCCAAAGTTTCCTCCACAGCCACGACGGACACTCACTGAGTTCGCTTGCCTTTCGAATTCTGACAACCGACACGTGACAACCGGCACGCACCTGAGGTCAGGGGCCACCATGCCCGTGGCCTGATTCCCATAAACTTCCACTGAAACTTGAACGCAACAAACCTAAAACTTTGCGGGTGCAAGTTTCTTTGGCAGTGAGTTTACACGCAGCAATCCGCCTCCAGAAAGTGCACTTCACGCCGGAAGTGCACTAAGCCGCAGCACGTGGGGTAGCCAGGGCGCTCTTCACGTGACTAGGCGGGGCCTCAAGAACCTTGTAGCCAATGGTAGCCTGGGAGGGCGGTGCCTGTGACGCGCCGGACCTATCCCGGAAATGGGGCTGAGGTGGGGGCGGGAAAGGGCGGGGAGGCCGGGGTGTGGAAAGTGTGGCGGCCCCGCCCCGCCTCTTGGAACTACCGCGGCCGCCACCGCTGCCGCTATCGCCGCCGCCGTAGGGGACCGGCGCGGGTACGCAGGCGAAAGGAGCTCTTTCTTTGCTGAAAGGTGAAGACACGGGGGAAAATTGGTGGGGCTGGGACCGGAGCGAGCCAGGGCCGGGAAAGGCGACGGGAGTCCTAACGAGGGAAGGAGGAAGGATGGATGGGAGGACGGAGGCGAGCGCGGGACTCGCCAGGGCTCAGGCCCATGCGGGGCCGGGCCGGGCCGAGGATGCCTGCAGGACAAGGGGGCGCCTGAGAGGCCCGGGATACCACGCCGCAGCCGGGGAGCGGAGTGCGCGCCGGATGCGCGAGGGCCAGGTGCTGCTGGCCTGGCCCTGTTATCCTCATCCTTCGCGGGGACGTGCGGCCTGGGCTGGGTCCCCCGCAGTGGGGAGCAGGGCGGCGGCGGAGGGCCGGGCGGTGCGGCGCGGTGCGGGAAGGTCGCCGGCTCCTCCTGCGGTGGGACGATGCGGGCCGGGATTTGCTGCTCCCTGCCTGGTGAGCCCCCTGGGCGGGCATCATCCACCCCCAGCTCGCTCTCAGCGACTTCCTTCCCCACCTCCCCACCAATGGATGGAAAAGTTTGTAGAGGCCAGAGTTAGAAAGTGCCCACTGTTCTTGGGTGGGTCTTCTATAGATGCAAAAATAATAGATCCACGATGCTTGGCACGTAACCTGTCCGAAATGAGATTTTTCGTTACCTGAGTCCCCATGGTTAAAAAGCAAACAAACTTTTTGCGTAGTTCCCTCCGAAAAGCTACCATCTCCCCAGCCCACCATGGCGGATGAAATTGATTTCACTACTGGAGATGCTGGGGCTTCCAGCACTTACCCTATGCAGTGCTCGGCCCTGCGCAAAAACGGCTTCGTGGTGCTCAAAGGACGACCATGCAAAATAGTGGAGATGTCAACTTCCAAAACTGGAAAGCACGGTCATGCCAAGGTAAGTACCCTTCCAGGTCTGTCTTTGCGTTGAGATTTTGATCATTTGTATTACATTACAGAGCATGAGATTTCTGTACTTAGAACTTTGTAATAAGCACTTTTTTTTTTCTTCACACAATACTGGGTGTTCGACTATCGTTTTGAATACTGAAAGGTAGCATTTCCTTCTTGGGCTCTTACAATGTTTCACTAATTGGGAACTGAAACTTTCCTGAAGCCCAGTGAGTTAGAAGATCTGTTCAGTTCACAGATGAGAAACCCTGTTCCAACATAATTCTAAGGAACCTAAATTCATTTTTCTTATGCATGCTTCTAATTGAATTACCGCACTTCATATGATTTAGGCCTTGATATGTTATGATACTGTTTAGTTGTTCATTGCTTGTCAATTTTATGACCGCTACGTCTTTTTAAGAAAGTAAAATTAGATGACCTTGAAAGGAGAAAGAATCTGTCATAATCAGCGTTGGTATTGTGCTCCTGTGTATGTAATGAGTGATATACTTGGCAAAGATTAAACAGGTTTCCTGTTCTTCCTTCTTTGTTAGGTTCACCTTGTTGGAATTGATATTTTCACTGGCAAAAAATATGAAGATATTTGCCCTTCTACTCACAACATGGATGTTCCAAATATTAAGAGAAACGATTATCAAGTAAGTACTAATTTCCTTTAGAATGCTTGTTTCTCAAAGGTGTGAATACATTGTACTATCAATTGTAATTTAACAAAAGCCAGTAGTAGTTCTGTAGGTTTTTCTAACCAATTACTAGTCACCACTTATCTGAGAAATTGGGCAAATAGTTGTATTTAACACTTGTACCTCATTTAGTATTATTCTAGTTGCTATTTTTTAAAACATTCTTGAATTTTTAAAAAGTTGAACACTTATTTGTTTCTCAAATCAAGTATATATTGTGACTGAATAAGTTTAATATTAATAAAATTATTATCCTCTTTGTTGTAAAATATTTCAATTTTAGATAACTCTTTCCCAGATGTTTTAATTTTTTTCACTTATCAGACCTAAGACTTTCAAGAAATTACTAGAATTCATGTTCCACAAGCCAAGTTTGTGTATTAATGAATGTGAGTCAGATTTTGCTATTCTTAAATAGGGAAATAAGTTAAAAGCCTTAAATATAAAGGAAAAAAATACATGGTCACTGAATATGGTGAAGAAAATACAAAAACTATGTAATTGTTTTATTTATATTCAGTGACCATGCTGTAACCTTTTGTTAAATTATAGGTATAAACTTCAAGTTTTAGTTCGAATTATACATTTGGGTAGGTCATGTTTAATGATAGCATTTTGTTGTTTGGAGTATTGATAGTAACCAAACCATTGACCTCATAGGATGTGGGAGCTCAGATTAATCATAATTAAAGTCTTTTTTTGAAAGTCTTCAATTTCTATATCAAGTATATCATATATGGAACTCTGTTCTTTTTACATAGTGAAAAATGTGAGTGTAACACTTATTAAACTGATTTCCTTTTATACCTTTTATTATACTGTATAATTTTTAAAGAATGTTACCATCAGCTGTAATTACCCAATGATTTCCTTTTACTGTTTGTCCACATGTAAACATATTTTTACATGGTTTTAGTCTAATAAGCAGTTTTATATTTTCACTTTCCCACTTATAAATATTTTCTAGGTTGCTTTGGAGTCTTTGTAGAACATTGAATTTTCTTAATATAATAGTGTTTTTTGTTTTGTTTTGTTTTGTTTGTTTGTTTTTTAGTCTAGCAGGTCTGGGTTTGGATTCAGTTCTACTACTTTCGAGCTGGATGACCTTAGATAAATTACACAACCTCTCTGAACCTCACTCTTTCCATCTCCAAAAGAGAGATAATGTGAGGAGTAAATGAGAAAATCTACCCCATAATTACCTCCTAAGTAGATGTATACCAAAGAGCGGTTATTTTCTGCACCCCCTTTTCCTGTATAAAAATTCCACTTAATCATTCCTTTATTCTTGAAGCACCTAATTTAGACAAGCATAGATTTTTCTTTTGCCTCAAATGGATTTCTGTTTTCAAAGCATTAACATGTGAATGCTTTGAATATTCAGTATTCATAATATTCATTAATATGCATTCAACATAGAATGCTTTTGCCTTTGAGTGTTTCAGAAAGATGGTATCAGTAGTTCAGATAATTACTGTTATGATCAATTTAGTCAATCATTGATTACAGCTCAAGATTTAACATAAAGGAAAAATTTGATTTGGGGTTTTTTTGGGGATGTAGCAGGGCCTAGACTGGGGGCGGGGGGTATAGGTTAGTAAGCCCCCTAACCTAGAGCACAAAATTTTAAATAAAGATAGGGTCAGTAACAATGCCAAGCCACGTAGGAGCCTAAGGCAAAAGGAAAAATCAATAATTGTGATCCTATCTTTGTTTAAAATTTTGATATTTTGTTCATTATGGAATTTTTACACTAATTCTTTTTTTTTTAATATTGCATTAAAATATTTATCTGATCATTGATGGTTCTTGTTGGTGCCACCTAAAATTTTACACCTGAGACAAGTGCCTCACTTGCTTCACTCTAGTCCCAGCCTTTGGTATGTAGTTTGTGCTGCAGAGTGTACGTAAGAGATCCAGACAGTTGGGTCCAAATTCTTGCTTTGGCATGAACTGTGTGACCTCAGTTGGCAAGTTGCTTAACCTCTTGCCTTCCTTTCCTTATTTATAAAATGGGGATAAGAATCATAAACAACTCATGGAATCATTGTGAGGTTTAATTAGTTAAGACTTAAAACAGTGCCTTGCATAGTAAATACTCAGTGATCATATCCCTTCATTATTAAGTCACCATAGAAGACTTATTTCTGCTCATTTAAAATAATTAGCTCTGTGAGCCTTTCCATTTATATTTATTGTGCTACAGTAGTCTTCACTCACCTAGCCAAGTGCCTTGATTAAATTCCTACTTTTCTTATTATTTGGCTACATGCAGTCCTTTGTATTTGCTTTTTTCAGTATTTCAAGTGCCAGTTTGGCAGTCAGCTAAAATGAAAATGAATATATATATTTATTTATTTATTTATTTATTTATTTATATACACACATTATAATAATTAAAAAGTAAATCTTTGTTTAGAAAAAATGTATTAATATTCACAATTTTAATTTTATGTATTTTAAAATAAGTTCAGAATAGAAGAAAAATTCTCTCCTGACTTCCACTGGATGATGTAGCTAGGGTTAGGATTGCTGATTTCCATTACTCCTCCCAAAAGTAGTTACGGTTCTCTGGGGCTCAGTAATGGTATAAAATGTAAATATATCCAGACACTTTTGGGAATCCCCAAATTTTTAAATATAAAAACTCTTGATTCGGCATTTACTAAAGTTTTACCTGTCACTTGAAGACCATTTTTCAGAAGGAAAGCTAATAACTATAGGATATGTTTAAGTATACAGGGGGTGCCAAAGAAGTGTATGCATATTTTAAGAAAGTAAACTATTAAAATTGTAATACTCAATATATGCTGATCACAAAAGATGAATACAAGTCACGTTTGATTTCTGCAATTACAAGAAATCAAAGTGGTTACCATCAGCGTCCAGACACTTCTGATTACTACTGTACTATAGTACTTTACTATAGTACTTCTGAACTACTACTGCTTGAGCAATGGTGACCAAAGTGGTACCCCTGGTATTTTGTGGACCTTTGGATTATTGATGAATTGCCAAACCTATGAATATTAAATCCTAGTATATTCTTCAAATAAGTGGTATGCCTTTTGGATATTGGAATATGCGAGTTGAATTTTGTTGCAACTTAAAAAAAGAGCAACAACAAAGAAGATAATGATGCTATCAGTTCCTTGGGGTTAAAGTCTTTTTATAATTTTTACCTGTTCTATGGAATCTTTGTGTTCCCTGGCAGAAGAAGCCTTTCTTTGGGAATAAAAAGTTTGTGAACCAGCAGATCCCAGTATTATAGGGATAAGAAGCAAATATTTTGCTGTAGTATCAGTAAGGGTAATAGTGAGAAGAACTACAACCTTTGGTTCCTAGACCTGTATATTCTACCTAGGGAAAAATAGTACCATGTATTGAAATATATTGCAAACTAGAACAGCACCTAGGCCTACAAACTATCACCCAGCAGGTGGCAAAGATGACGCCTTCAATAGGCCAATCCACACAGGCAAGCTATTTTAGAATGATGGCGTACACGGACCAGTGAATTCTCTGAGCATTGTCCTTCTTATTTTGCCTGTCAAATGAGGGTTTTAGTCAGAAATTACCCCGTCTGTAATACAGGAATGTGGCATTCTATAAATCCCCAGATGAGATTTTAGCAGAAGCACTGCAGGCCGGGGAGGCAAATGCATCTGTAGAGTAAGAATCTAATGCAATGAGTACAAACTGCTGCTGCGTCTTCCATGATGGAAGGGGTACAGTGTTATTGGTGGCCGGCTTTAACCCCTGGGGAATGGTGCCATGCCAAGGACTCTGTATTGGTCTCTGCTGTGAGGTACTCAGTAGTGGCTTTAGTCAAATCAGCTTTGGTGAGAGAAAGTCTGTGTCACTGAGCCCATCCACCATGGCCACTTTCTTCGTAGGCCAATTGAGCAAGGACTGGGAAGACTACAAAAAAACCCTGAAAGATAGTCATAGATCATCTTGTCCACCTAATTATCTGTCTTCTCTGTCGTGGAACCCCATGAGAAAGCATTCACTTGGGCACATTCTCTAACTATGTGGAGAAGTTCTTCCACATACCACTTCCCCACACCGTATTGTCACCAATTTTTCTGTGTTCTTTCAGTGACCTTGACCTTCCCCCCAAACTCGTAGGCATTGCCCATAATCAGTGTAAATCCAAATCTCTGGCTTTCTCTTCTTCCACATCCAGTGCATGAAGTTCTTACCCCCACTATCTTTCAGAGCCACCTCTGAAGTTTCATCAGATCATGCATAACCATCAAGAAACCATTTGGAAGTTTTCTTTTTTTCAGTCAGCAGGTCATGGGCACTCCCTAGAAAGCCATTGGTATAAACTGAGGGAGAAGTTGTTGGTGTAGCAGAAGAAGGTGCTTTCTCAGTCTGAGCTACTTCTCATACGACTTGTTTGTGCCTTTAGGACCTGCTCAAGTTGATCTCATATATGCTACTTCCACTTGATGATGGAGTGCAGCTGTGCATACACCCAACTTCATGGCTTGGTGGGTCAGAAGATGACTCCAATTGATGACAGTGTTATTTGCTTAGCTTTTATAATAACAATGATCAAGCATCAGGTCTCTCCCGGGGACCAGCAGCTCTGAGGAAGTAGCCTGAGAGGCTGGGGGAAGAGGAAAAGGAAGAAATAGAAAGGAAGAGGCCTTACAAGTCTGATTGTCTGAAATAGATCGAGGAATGAAATTAAATTCAGAAATTAGGTCTAAGCAGGCACCTGTAGTGATGGTATGCCTTCTCCAGCTTTCTGGTATATACCAATAATACAGATACAGGCAAAAAAAGTTTCTCTATAATTCCCCTTTTCAATGTTCTTTCTTATTCTGACCACATCATGGACGGACTCTGTAGTCATGAACTCTCCCCACATCCTTCCTTTTAGTTCATGCTTTGCTTCTTCAGCTCCCTGGGGCTCCAACCATTTAGTGGTTACAATGCTTTCTAGAATTCTGACACACCATAGCATTTTTCTTGTGGAAATTTTCAAAATATAATGACCCGCATATACCCATCATTCAGCTTAAATAATTATCAACACATAGGCAGTCTTATTTCATCTATACCCCGCCACCTAATTTTTCTTCCTGTACCCTCCACTTCTTGATTATTTTGAAGCTAATATCAGATATTTTATCATTTCATTTGAAGATATTTTTGTTATACATTTCTAAAGGATAAGAACTATAAAAAAATTAAAAATACTATGGCACCTAAAAAATTAGTAATTCCTTAATATCTTTAAATATCCAATAAATATCTACATTTCCTAATTGTCTCTTTTTTTCTTTCTTTTTTTTTTTTTTTGCATTTTGGATATGATGGCTATTGTTTTTATTTTATAGTTCATCTAAATCAGGACCTAAATAAAATTCCCACATTGAAATTGGTTGGTGTATCTCTAAAATCTGTTTTAATCTATAGGTTCTCCTGTCTCACGTACTGGAGTTCTCTTTCTTCTCTCTCTTCTCCCACCCTCTCCCTCCTCATTTTTTTGATAAACTATATCATTTACTCTGTAGACTTTCCACAGTCTGCATTTTGCTAATTGCGTTTCCTTGTTGTTTAACATATTCCTCTGTCCCATATATTTCCTGAAAATTGATAATTAGATGTAGAGGCTTGGTCAGATACAGTTTAGATTTTTATTTTCTTCCTCTTCTTTCTTTAATACAAACTACTCCATAGCAGATGTTCTATGCAACCATCAGGTAAATAAGTCTGACTGTTGCTCTTTTTGTGATGTTATTAGATATATGATAATTGCCTCAACCCATTAATTTATTAGGGGAGACAAAATTATCTGTCATCATTCCTCCTTCTTTTTTTCCAGAACAGTTCTATAAAGAGAAACTTCCCTTCATTTTTTTTGTTTGTTTGCCCTGTGGTACAATATATAATAGAAAAGGCAGTATAAATGCTTGATTCTTTCCCTTTAATTACTAGTTTTCAAAATGAGCTGTTTCCTTAGTATTCACTGAAGGTGACCAATCAAATGTTGTTTGTTTGTTTTTTCACTATGAACTTTAACCATATTTGCATTTCAATCCATTGTAGTAATTATACTTACCAATTTTCAAATTGTCCTATCTTTGCTAGGGGACCATATTCAGGTTAGCTCCAGATTCTCTTTAGTATGGGCCTAGTGGTTTTGATAGCTCCATGCTTTCTAGTGTAACAGCTGGCTCCAGGTTCATCTTGTATACTTCCTGTTCTGGACCTGGAATTATTCATTTTTCCAAGGAGCCCTATGGAGAGAAATAGCATCTCTGGGAGAAATAGCACCATACATTGGATTATTTTAGTAGGAAATAATAGATACCACATCCTGGTACTGTATCTTCAGGGTATAATAAAATTTCATTGGTCATTCAGCAGTGTGGTACACCACTGCATGCCTAACACCTCTATTAAGTTTTCTGACCCCACCCTCTCCCATCTCCCTGCTTCCTAATAAATGATTACTCTATCAAAATGCTCTCTACCAAAAGCAAAAAAAAACCCAAATTGTTCAAAAGCACCTTAAAGTTATCAAATGAGTAGCTTTCTTTAAAGGTGAAGGATCAGAAAGAAATACTTAAAATTGACTTATAACTGTCTCTTCACCATCCTCTTCTTCTAACTCTATAGCCAGAGAAGGCTTTGAGAGAATATGGAAAAAAGTGTACAAAAAATATGCTTGCAACTCAGCAATGACACTGGTAGCTTTTTTTTTTTTTTTAAGATTACAAATTACAAAAGGGAAAATGGTACACCTTTAGAGTGGAAAAATCTGGCAGATACTCCTTTAAAGAGATCAAAGTTAACATCACAAGTAATAGGACTCATTGAGTTAATTTGTCTCTTGATCAAATACTCTGATCACTTACATAGTATTCCTCCCCAAAATCACGAGAAAACAATTAGACAAACCCAAAATGAGGAAGATTCTATAATACAGTGAACCTGTACTCTTCAAAAATGTCGGTGTCGTGAAAGACAAAGGGTGAGGGACTTTCCAGTTTAAAAGGGACTAAACTGCCATGACAGCCAGGTAAATACAGGTGTGTTCCTAGAGGCGGGAGGGAGAAGTTGCTATCAAAGACAGTATTGGGACAATTGGCAAATTTACATATTGAAAAATACTTTAGCAATATTGAATTTCCTGATTTTGAAAAATAAACTGGTCATTTAAGAGTATGTCCTTGTTCTTAGGAAAAATACCCTGAAGTATTTATTGCTAAAGAGTCATGATGTGTATTGCTTCTCGGCCTTTTGGCTAAGATCAAGTGAAGAGTCATGATGTGTGAAACTTCCTCTCAAATGGTTCAGTAAAAATGAGAAAAGAATAAGCATGTGTGTGATATGTATTTTATATATTCCATATATACAGAGAGAGAAAAATATGCACATGTGGTTAAATGTTAACAATGGATGAATCTAGGTAAAAGATATGGGATTTTGTTGCATTATTTTTGTAACTTTTCTGAATATCTGAAAATGTTTAAATAATTCAAGAAAGATCAAATAATTATTCATTTTCATTGAACTTTATTTTCTGTTTAATTTTATTTTTGAAAATTTTAATTTTATTTCATAAAGCAATTTCTGTTATATATTTAACAAACATAAATACATTTTTACAAGATGTTTTATAATATAGCTATACATTTTTATATTTGAAATGCTTTATATTTCATCCCAGAGTTTATTTTACAAATTCTTAACTCAAAACACAAAGTACCACCATTATATAAATAAATATCAAAATACCAGCATCATTTTTTGGCTTCTATGTTTCAGTCACTAATGGCACTGGGAACCTTGAAATGGACAAGTTCCACTTCAGGTAAAAGAGCCCAAATCAGAAAGAGCTGCCTCGTGAGCCGGTAGTTAATCGTTTAAAAATTATATTACTACATCAGCCTCCTCACTCCTCTCCTAACAACCTCACAAACATTTGAGGGACATAAAGATTAATTAAAAGTGTGGTTTTTTTGTTTGTTTGTTTGTTTTTGAGATTTTGGACATGTGCAAAACTGAAAACTTCTGTGAAAGCTGGGATTTCTCTGGAAAGCCATAGCCAGGCTTGGCAGTGCCATAGAGGAGAGACTCGAAGCTCTCCCCTGTGGCGTGCCTGTGCTATATTATAGTGGCTAAAGGGTTCCAGGACTGGGGCTTTTACCCCTTTTGTATATGTCAATGTTAACATCTGGTATCCTGGATGATTGCCTGCAATAAAATCTGTTAGAATTCTAGGCACACTGATGGTATACATGCTTTCAGAATACATGAGTGCAGCCTGGCTGTTTCCTCATGCCTATAACAAAAGAAATTCAGTTATTTCAAAACTGTGCCTTTTGCAAAGTAGGTTGATGATCGGGTTTGTTTCATTTTGTCATCAGCAAGCTAGTGTTTGTCTTTTAACAAAAAATCTAGCATTGTTAGCAGTAAGTTGGAGACTAATGAAATTGTAAAACATTGTAATCATGAAAAATTTAAAATAACCTTTATGGCCATTAATGGGAAAATGCTTAAATCAGTTACAGTGTATCTATGCAATTGTAAAGTGGTAAAAGAGACAAAGGTAGACCCATATTTTGCAATTTGGAAAGATTTCTAAGACATGTTATTAAGTGAAAACTTGCTGAAAAATACTTATGCTATTTTTTAAATAACTATTTTTGTGTTGTGCACATAAATGTAAATGCTTCAGGATACACTTTGAAGCCTAAACTGTTTAATAATGCAGACTTGGGGGAGGGGTGAAGTACAGGGAAGAGTGAACTTACACTTTTTGTCTGTACATATTTTATACTTTTGTATGTCTAGCATTTTTAAGCACTAAGAATATCTTAATGTCTTACTGTGTACTTATACTAATGAATGTATATTTCAGTTTAACTATGTAAATATGACAAAGTAGTGGGTATAATCTAATCAGTGCAAATGATATAATTTCTTTTAATAGCTGATATGCATTCAGGATGGTTACCTTTCCCTGCTGACAGAAACTGGTGAAGTTCGTGAGGATCTTAAACTGCCAGAAGGTGAACTAGGCAAAGAAATAGAAGGAAAATACAATGCCGGTGAAGATGTACAGGTAAAGACCTATGGGAAGATTGTTTTTTTTAAACCATTTTATAAAAATTTGTCCTAAACTAGTTACATGAAATACAATATATATGAAGTGTAGCTCTTAAATACTGCTGAAATTCTGAAAATGATCTCCAAAGAAAGCTTTCCTGTGATATCCTTAGAGACCCATCACGAAAGAAATTATCAAAGTTTGTTTATTTTGTTAATAGACACGGTCAGCCTCAAATTTGAAGATCAACATCTGAGCTACTCTTGAAGTATGAGAAAGGATGCTATGGGAATATGAGTACATAACACCTAATAAGTATTGAAACATTTATAGCCCGTATTCTCCCTGTTCCCTGGAAGTTATCTTGAAAACCATAATTTGAGCAATTTCCCTTTAGGAAACTTTTGGTCTTGGAATACCTCTTTCCAAAGTCAATATGTATAAAATATCCACAAATTATAGTATATAATGAATTAAATTTATCATACAGTTGTAGTGTCTTCTGAATAATTTTACTTGCATTTTTCCCTTCTAGGTTTCTGTCATGTGTGCAATGAGTGAAGAATATGCTGTAGCCATAAAGCCCTGCAAATAAATGGGAACATGAGGCATGGGCAAACCATGGAGGTCTGGATCAACTGCAGATCTAAAGTTTGGTTCTAAGTTGTCACCAAAGCTATGGCCTTCATAAGCCACCTCATTTATTTTTTATTTGTTTTCAAATTGTGCTGAGTTAGTTTTGCAGGCAGTTGGTAATTTAAAAGAGTAATCAAGATGTATAATTCTTTTTTTTTTTTTTTAATTTTGTAGCTGTTGTTCCTATAACATTCCTGTGTTTTTTCTGTATGTGAGTCTAAGAAACAGACAAGGTAGCTTCAGCAGATATGATTTGTCTGAGCAAATCATTCCTGAATGATTTAAACGATAAACAAACCAGGGTTTAAAATCAAACAATGTAGCATCTAGTGGTATTGAAGTACCACATTTAAGTTGAATTGCTCTGTGTTAATTTCAGACTTAATATCATAGAGTAAGTAAATTATGGATTGGAGCTGTCACAGTGTCAGCCTGTGTGTGGCAAGCAGAAAAACTTAAACAAAAATGTTATCAAAAAGTGTCAGTTATCTTAGTAGCCATGTGTAGCCACATGTATTGCCTTGGTCATACTCTTCTTTGCCAAATTGTTGGCCGACTTAATATAACCTTATATATGAGGTCTGACAATTAAGTTCGCGAACTCATCCTAGAAAAAGTGCTACATACCTCATTGCTGAATATCACTATGGTCACCTTCGAAGTCCTCCCCTTGGGAAGCTATGCACCGACGCCAGCGCCTCCAAAGCAATTTTGGAACTCTTTTTCTGGAATGGCCATCAGAGCTATCGTTGTGTTACCTTTGATGTTCTGAATGTCATCAAAATGTCTTCCTTTCAATATTTCCTTTATCGTTGGGTAAAGAAAGAAGTCATTGGGGGCCAGATCAGGTGAGTAGGGAGGGCATTCCAATGTAGTTATTTGTTTACTGGCTAAAAACTCCCTCACAGACAGTGCTGTGTGAGCTGGTGCATTGTTGTGATGCAAGAGCCATGAATTGTTGGCGAAAAGTTCAGGTCATCTAATTTTTTCACGCAGCCTTTTCAGCACTTCCAAATCGTAAACTTGGTTAACTGTTTGTCTAGTTGGTACAAATTCATAATGGGGCCGGCCGAGTGGCTCAGTTGGTTAAGAGCTTGCTCAAGAGTTTGAGCTCTGAGCAACAGCAGTTCGATGCCCGGCCCGAGCTGAGCAGCTGCTGAGCTGCCAACAGGTAGCAGGATAGCACAGCTAAAAAAAAAAAAAATTCATAATGAATAATCCCTCTGATAGCAAAAAAGGTTAGCAACATCGTTGCAACAAGTTCGCAAACTTAATTGTCAGACTTAGACTGGTGATTTTTTATACCTGTTTGTGGTTGACAGAGAGGCATTAAACTGTTGAGTGACTATTAGCAAGTCATACTGTAAAGAAGACACAAGGGACAGTGGCAAAAGGGGTTGGCAAAGCTGTGGGTTTTTATTTGAGGCCTTTGTAATCAGCATAAAAATAGAAAGTTTTTTCTAGTTGTACTTTTGCTTTTAACTTTTGTGTTCTCTCTCTCTCTCTCTCACCTGCTTTGCAGGGTATTATGCAGTGCTTTTTATCAATTATTTTGCTAAATTCTTTTATCAATTATATTGATAAATTATGTTGATAAATGTTGGTATTTATAAGTAGCCGTTCCTTTTCAACCATTTGTAAATAGACTTTTTTGACATCAAAGTATTTGGCAGACAAAATCTATAAATTCTTATTTCAAATCGATGTGTAACATTTGTTAAATTTATGTACATGTTTTTCTAAAGTGAAATGAAAGTTAATTATGGAAGAAAAGTTACTTTATGTGATAATCATTATGTATTTTTTCTGATTGTCATGTGACTTAAATTCAGTTACTCGAGTGAAATATAACTAGGAAAGAATTCTATAAACTAATTTATTTTAAAAAGTGTTTTAGGTGACTTTGCTACATTTCTATTTAGGCTTTTAAATCATAAAAACCTTATTTCCAGAATTCTAAACATTGTCACAGGGTTTGTGAGAATCTTTGACTCAATAATAATGATTATATTGGAGTGAAATATAGAAGTTACTATTTCAGTAATACCTTCATTCTCTAAGACCGATTTCCTCTCCCACCATGCCTTGACTTATACAAGGCCTTTATTCCTATCATCTAGAGGAAAATATATATGATGATGTAACTGATCTAATCAGTGACTGGAGATAGCTTTAGGAACTGAAGTTCCCAAAGTTTTAGTTACTTCATTTGCTTATACTTTTAAATCTTGTATTAACATCAGCAAATGCATTTGGAGAAGAAGCAAGATACTTCAAGGAAATGCAAGGAGAATTCTAAAGCACAAGGAATATTGAGGTTGTAGTTAATCATTTTTAGTGTAACATTTTAGCTTTTACCCATCTAAAGCACAGTTAGGAATTAGGCTAAATTCTTTCCAGTATTCCATTTAAGTATCTACTACATACTGCTTCAGGTTTTTGTTTTTGTTTTTGTTTTTTACTACTTTATAACGTGTATTTTACTTGCTACTGGTTGACACTGTTACCCACAGGAATTACAGAAAGTTATCAGTCTGTGCTGCTTGCTGGTCATGCATATGACCCCAGTTAATCATGCCCATATTCTGGTTTAGTGTTAATTCTGGATCAGCATGCCCTTATTCTTCCTAACCTATCAAATTCACAGAAACATATTTTCAATTGCGAGGTAAGTGTATATAGATTATAATAACGCACCGCTATCTTCATACCTTGAATGGCAAAAGCTATTGATGCATAAACATTTCATTTTAAGCACTATAATGAAGTGTAAATACTCTTCTGGAATATAAGTATAGATTTTAAAGATATGGGACTGCTTGTTTATTTTCACATAAGTCAATACATGTTTCTCTAGAACAAAATATTTCATTTAGTAAAGCTTTATAAATTGTATGAAAAGAAACAGGGAAACATATTTTTAACATAAAACAGAAGTGACTTCATTTTTTTTTTGACATCAGAAATGTTAATATTTGATTCCTAGTATTTGTTGTACTCTTTTGTAGCAAATGTTAAATATCACAAGTTACCATGTATATAGAATGCAGACTGTCATGTTAATAGATTATACAGTGATGCACCATTTTTGTCTGCAGGCATTTCACCAATTAATATACAATATTAACCAGTGGAATATGTGTTTCTTTCTAGAATAACATGCTTTATTTCTACTGTGAAGACTTTGTTATACCTTATTTGCTACAAAGTTGTAAACCCTCTGAAATAGATCAAATCATTGCTACTTTGACTTAGTATTTGCATAGTATTTGCAACATAATTATGATATTTCTTTCATGCTCCCCTCCAAGGGCTGTCAGTCACTTGAAACTGTTGCTAACCAAGCTCTTGAATCCATTTCCATTGATAATATAAAATTCAGTACCAATGCTTTATAACAATTACCAAAACTCTCCTACAGCCAGAGCATGGTATCTTTAATAGGAGATGCTGCAATAAAATATTTAGGCTATAAAATTTGGGGACACTGTTTTCCTTTATAGCACAATGTGTGTGCATGTGCACACAGCTTTGTATGTTTGTTTTTTTTACAAAGTCCTTCTAACTCTTAAAAGTACTGTAGTCTGGTAGTGCCTCAAATGTTGGTAACTTTTTTTTTAGTTTACAACTTTTCCAGAATTTGTTTTTATACTTTAAAGTTTCTCAATTAGATTATTTCTAGTTGAGCTGTAATTTGAATGCATTGTTCTCAGGGCTGTTTGTGCAAAGAGCTGAAGTTTCGTTATTTTAAAGCTAACTGCCTGAAAGTATATTGCAGAATTTTCCCAAATTATAATACATACAAATAAAAAAATCCTTAATATCAACATACTTAAATTATATGATGCTAAGTGTTGAAGAAAAAAATGGGAACATTGTTAACACCTATACTGGAATCTTGCCATATTTTTTTCATTTTAGAATAGAATTTGATAGTCTTATCTTAAAACCCTATCCTTAGTGATATATCTGAAAGCATTCCTTTAGCATGGACCCCAAAGATAGTTTCAGAGCCAGACATTGATGTAGTGGTTCTCAAACATATTTAGGGACAATAGAGCGAAATTCATAATGCTCTTTTGGGTACATTAAAATGTTTACATATTGAATTCTATAATATGAACTAGGAACAGATTTACTATGAGAAAATATGGCTCTTAAGTGTAAGAGCAAACTATAGGCATATTTCCATAAATAGTATAATATATTGAAGTGATCAACAGTTTCAATTTTTCTAATATCATTTAGGCCTAATATTTCACAGTTTTGAAGCCTTTTTTCTCCTAGCATTCAGACAAGTAGTAAGCAACAAAGGCTTAAGAAAAAATTGTGGAAAATCTTAAAATTGAGAAAATTCAATATATTAACTTTAATCTATTAAATTCTTTTTCTCTGGATCGGTTGTATGTCATCATTATTTGATTTTAGCAGGAAACATTTGGATTTGGCTTACGGAACACAGGTGTTCTGTGGGTACATGGCTTGAAGTCACTCTGTAATTTAATGTTTTTCCATTAAATAAATATCCGAACATCAACTTAACTACCAAGTGAAGTCAAGTGCCTGAAAAGTGCTGTATACATCTAATTAGCACATTTTCGTTTTGTGAAGGACGCATCTTATGGCAATGCATATCAGGCTCTCACCTGCTAGAAACATACTTGTTGCCAAGCTTTACCATCTGCCACTATTCCTCTCTCCTTAGAACAGGCTGAAACCTATTTTACAATTGAAAGATAAGTTCTTTTATTTATACGAAATCCTTAAAACTATTTCTTGGTATTGCTAGACTTAGATTTGTCTTAGTTCCAGATTGCACTTTTTAAAAACTCTGGACACTAAACTATATTCAGTGATGACTGTACAGCTTGTCATAAGTCATAATGTGACCTTTCTTGAGAGGAATTCTTTATTGTGGTTAATATCTAATATAAATAAGCACGTGTGCTTGTTACAAAGTGTAATGCAAATTACTAGTTCTAAACTAGAATATGAAAATGACTGATTCTATACTGTTATGTACTTTTGTCCTTTCCAAACAAGAAATGGTTGAAATAGCATTGTCTAACCCAATGGCACTTTATTAGTAATACATTTTATTTGTCTTAGGTATAGAACTCTTGCTTTTACCTGCAGAGACCCATATTTTAGCTAAAATGTTAAAATTGTAAGATATGTAGTATGGGTATTATAATTGTGCATTTTACATTTCAGAAATGGATAAAATCCAAATGTTAAGTCTGGCTATACTAAAAATATTGTTAAATCCTTTAAAATGTAATAGTAAACTTATCAGTTATAACTTTTTGTTATGTTAAAATATATTTGTTAACTTCATCAGTCATGTCAAATAAAAATAAAGTTAATTTAACAGCTTGCACTATTCTTGTATATATACATTTCTAAAAACATTTTAATACCAGAAAGTTGTATGAATTTATGTGTACCACTGTTAAGAAAGTATAACATTTATTTTTATTGTGTTTTCATATTCTAGGTCTTACTAGAGAGTTGGCCTAGCTTTATGGCTGGGAATGTTAATTTCTAAATTTTAGTTCCAGATTTAGGTACAATATTGGTCTTATTTTTAAATTTTAGTGGCTTTTAAATATGTAAAATAGTCACATCGTTTAATATTCTACAGGT